TAATTTTTGTTCTATTGCGTTAATAGATGCATTGAGCCGAAATCTTATTTGTTTCTTATTTGTTAGGAAGAAAAAGGCGAAACTTCAACTAGACCACTTAAAACAAGTTTAATATTTTTGTTTGTAAAATTATTGTCCATTACCATTATGCATATTAAAATTTCACGTGTTTGTTCAAGGTATTGAAAATCTCAATATTTATCATTCTACCGAGATAAAAGGCATGCCTGTTTTGTATGTAAGTGATCTTCTTAGTACCTTAGTATTTCTTAAAATCTCAAACTTAACGACGATAATCTTGAAATCATACGCGGTCATTGACTGATATTCGTAGATTAGCTGGACCTGGTGCAGGATAGCCATGACTATGTTGACTATAGCTCCGACCGTATTCGGTGGCTTGGTCTTTTCGACAGCGTCGAACATGTGACGATCAACAAAGATACCTGTCTCTATGTACTTTATACCGCCTTGGGCTGCACGCTTCCGCCGAGAGTTAATGATAATATTTTCATGTTCAGGCATATTCGTTTGGAGCCTGGACCTCTCATAACCAAAATTCGCCTTGGCGGATCCTGGTGTCGTTTCAACTGTTTCCGTAATGCTCGGCGCTATGTGGCTCATATCGTCGAGGGGAACCTCCTCTGCAAATAGCCGTATATATATACATATCATCTTGCATTTATTATTCCATCGAATCTAAATTTCATCGAGAAAGCTATGTAGCCGTATTATATATACAATTTTGTAGCATGTGATACAAACTCAAGTAATAATGTTGAAGAGCGCGGACCTTGTAAGTGAATTTTGAAAAACAAAGGTCTTCTAGAGATGCCGTACAGCGTAGTGAGGCAACTTCATACAGTCACTACAGGCAGGACGTTTTTAACGATCAGAGATTCCGGTACAGAAAAAAAAATAACAACCGCTGAGCATTCTTTCGATTTTCATTTCGCACCGCATTGCGGTTAATTGGTAAATTATATATTTCTTTACATCTGTATTTACTAAACTGTATCGTAGTGCGTATTTCGCTTTACCGTACCCTTAAAGGTATGCAAACCACAAAATTGTTCTCCTCTCTCCGACTGCAGACGCGTGAGTACATGCGGCCGGTCCTTGTCGCCTCGCCACTCGATCAGTCGCGGCTTCAGATAAAATACCCCTCCATCCGTAATCATGATGGCGTGCTACATTTGGTTGAAATCAATAACGCGTTAAAAACACAGCAACCGAATTTTAATCCTATTCTAACAAAAATCACGTAAAAACATTAACATTTATTGAGCATATAGTTGTGACAAGACATAGTTATGCTCTATTTTATTTTTGAGTATTACAGTCCATCCCCCATGGCAGACCAGACAAAAAATCTATGCGTTTAAATATTCTAGGTAAACTTTCAAGAAGCCAGTTAGTATAGAGTTGAATAGCAGGCCTATAATAAGAGAAAGTCAAGATAAAATCAAATATTCTATTTATGTAAGGTAGCATTGTTGCCCGCGTAGAGTAACTTACAGCCTCCGTAGAGTTGGGGCATGTATTAACCGAGGCGATTCCGCTCACGGGCGAAATAACTCTGCCGATAAATTGGCATTTCTGCACATCATGTAATGGATGGCTATCCGTATAATTCTCGTACCGGACATGAACACGTTCTAGACGAGAATGCAGTCTAGTATCCAGTTGTGGCTCGAGTTCAATGTAGAATGTGAGATTCACCGAAACTCGTACCACCATCACTCTGAATAGCAAATAATATGATACGAGTAAAGAACAATGTTACTTAGGTCGTCACGATGGGCCAGTACGGCCATAGATAGAAAACGAAAAAACTGACACCATTTCGAACTATGTGCAATTTGTATAAATGCGTCATCGTCTTTTCAATGTGTCCCTCAGAGGAAATTTATTTTCGATAACTTCTGCTTCTAGAAGAAAAGGAAACTTTCACCTAACATATCTTTATCATTTCAGCTTATTCCAATGATACGCATATGTGATCCTTAAACATTTGCAAATTTTAACAGGACACAGCTCTATGCATCGTCGTTGCGACGTCCAGTTGGAAGAGGTAGATCCTAAACACTGCACAGGCAAGATCATCATCTACCTTTTCTGAGCCTTCGAGCTGATGCTGGGTGTCGGCCATATCTGCATTTGCTCATCTTCTATCGGTGTGTGCACATTATGCAATCGTATGACCACATCTTTCTCACCATCCAGGAAATTGTCCGAGCTCGTCCGACAAAACACCTGCAATGCAGTATGACATACTCAACATTTTTACCAGTCAAGTCGAGTTTAGGTGTGCGCGACTAAACTTCTACGTTAAATTGAAGAGTGAAGTTTCGCAATGCTCGTTGCGCGTTACTAATCCAGTAGGCACGGTAATTGCAAAAGGCACTTTGCAGATGTTCACAAACGTTTCCATTATTTAGCCTGAATCAAATATGGTAGAAAAATGAGCCAGTAATATTGGTGAATAGAAACTGCATCAATACTACGAGCGTACTGGTTTGTGCATGCTTCAACGCTGTCGATGAATAATACTTCATAATGAAGACCACTGTGGTATTTAGTCAGTCACGTGTTTAACATGAGCTGAGATAGAAAACAACGATGGAGACAAACTAACTATTCACGGATTTTCTGTGTCCGATTTCTGTATTCGAAACAATAACCTCTGGCTGCCAAGTCAAGCACCTTATGATCTACAATATTGCGTTGTTATGTTTCGACAAATTTATAACTAACAATTGTAAATCCTACACACGCAGTCCTAATAAGTTTAATTGCCTATTTTGTAAATATGCCAGCTCAAAATATACCTCCATAGTAATTTTTGCTTCGAAAGGCCCAAACATTTTACTCAGTTATGCGCAAATGTATTTTGTGTAGCTTATAATAGATAAACACTATCCCAATGTAACGTGTGACGTAATCTTATGGCCAAAAAAATAGAATGATGCAAGTCGATAGATGCTTGACATCGTTAAGTACTTCAATAATATGTCTGGAGAATCTTAAAATAGAAACAGTTCGTTGTCTGTATCTACTGACAAAAACTCGGTCAGTGTCTGTTGGTGTAAATTTGCCCCCCTCAATATGATATTTTTTCATATTATCATTTTTAACAAGACAACCTTTTTTGTCGGCCTGTAACGTACCTGACATACGTTAGCTAAAGATTCTGCTGATGAGTACTCTACACTCCTGAAGCTCAACAATTCCTGCCTGTGCCATCGAGTCAGCGATATGATATATGATTAGCAGCTGATCGAAAGGCTGTAGAAAGCAACACTTGGGTTACAAAAAAAAAATTATATTTAAATAGATCACAATAAAAATAAAGTTTCCATTTGCGACTTCGCTCAAAAATGTAGCCTCTAACAATTTATGGAAATTTGTTTTATTTTGAGAAGGTAAATTCCCGACCATTGCAGGTATCAGGACGACGATACCAGTACGCTCTAACGCTTCCCGGCCGTTCAAGACCGCGCACAGAACTTTCCAAGTTCAACAAAATGAGCTGAGCCCTGTTTAACTGCCTGCTAACGTGCAACACCAAGCAATATATATGTTTTATAGGTTTACAATTTTCGTACATATTTTTTTTACAGTAGGATTATCTTCCAGTGCCGTGTGGGAGCACTGGGAAACATTGCCGAACAGTGGCGCTTCTACCGAGCAACATGCGCCAATCAATGAAGCACATTTTACCCAGGCTGTTCTTTTACAAGGAAAATGCGCACGTCTTTTTATGAAAATAGTTAGCGTCAACTAGCATATACTTGCTGGGTATTTACCGCACTCAGAAAGTAGCTTTGCAAGGCTAAAAAATGAATATAACTTCGAATCTCTGTTATAGTCGTGCCTAACGGTTTCGCATATCTGGTGCACAACAAGAATGTTCTGTACGCTTTTGTATCTGTAGCGCAGCATGCAAAAAAGAAACCGTAAAACGATCATTTTCAATAGAGTCTAGATAAGGCTCATTTATCGCCCGGGTCCCGTTTAACACTAACATGTAATATTCCCCTAAACATCGTGGCGTGGAGCTTCTACCTTCATATACAGCACAATGTATGAGCAAGAACTTCAGCCAGCAGCGTCCCCTATACGAATTTGCAAACTCCTTCCGCGTTTATCAACTAACTGAGTTCATCTATTTGAGTAAAAGCATTCGAATTTATTTAATATAGTTGTAAAATAATTATAACAGCCATAATAATCGTGATTCATTTACATATCGCGGGGGTTTGCCATTTCTACGTCACGTTCACCCTACCGCTTTTTCACTTATTGATCGTGGGGCAAAGCGGCGCCACGTCCTCTAGTTAACGCTTAAGTCCCGATTGAGTTACACGAAACCAGCAGCCTAGTTCAAAGTTGTAAGTCGCCTGAGCGCGCAAAGCGATTTTCGGACGCTCTGTATCTGTGATAGACATCCGGTATGTCGTTGGTCAGCTTTTACCCTCGGTTGATTGCCTCCTTTGCATTTGTCGCCACCCGTATTTCTGGTTGGTGTGGTGCATTTCGCTGTCACCTCCCTCCGTCCCTGCGCGACGCCAGTCTTGTCTGCTGGTGGCAAGGCTAGTTTTTGTCATTTATCATGCACGCTAATTATATAATAGAACAACGCGACCCAAACTCAGTTTAATTACGCGACATCTGGTTTGGCGGACGACAAACAAATACTCTGTTGATTTGTACTGCCTACGCGCTAAGCGAAACTTCACTGGTCAAGCTAATCGTGAATATGCCCTCAGTGCGTGGTTCGGGGTAATGACTGGGGCAACAAGGGAGGCTGCGATAAAGAACGATAAACGAAAATAGAATACCATAAACTAATCTAAATAAAACTTGATAACACTAATAGAGTTGGAGCTGGGGTAGATTTTTTCTTTCGGTAAGTTGCGCCGCCGGTAATGATCGGCGATCTTTTTCGATTAGTTATGCTTGGAACGCTTTAGATTCACTGTACGAAGTGAAGATGAACGGTGCCATTAGACGCTGTCGATTTTTGTTATTGTCCGGTATCTTTAGCTACGCTAAACTCATATAGAAAAATGTTTCCCAGTGTAATGCTCAACTATACGGCTCAACTAGTGCTATTTACCTACTACTTTGAACTAATGGTATTCGTATAAAAAAAAAGTGCACGATTTATCTCGTGTTGCTGCTTTTTTTTTTTAATAGACTTCTAACATATTGTGAAGATGTTAAAAGTTTCAGCTGCATAGTTTCAATCTTTGTTTGAAGCGATTTGAAAAAAATATTCACACCTGTTGTCTGTATGATATTAATATGACAACAAAGTCAGAGTGGAGTTTTACCCTTCGTCAGTTGTAAAGTACCGTATTTACTAGTCCTGCGCGTTCGCCTTCAATTTAGATACGACACCTTTGCAATCTAGAAAACTAGAAGCGACTGTAATAATGCATAGAAAAATCACTCAAATGCTTATAAAATTAGATTCGGACTATTGGACGCGCAGAAGTTCCATTAATCTTCTCTGCCACCTCTTGGTCCATTCATAAGACGGAAGCTAGATACCCCCGTAACACGGGCAGCCGAGATAAAAAAAAAAAAGAAAGAAAGGCTTTCAAAGCAAGGTTTCGTCAAAACCGTGAAAATACTTTTATCCAATCCCAAGTCAAATGAAGCGTACGTTCTCTCAGACAAATGTAATTGCCGTTTCTCGAATAAATCACCTGGCCATAGCGACTTTCTGTTCCAGCGTTCTCAGAGTCAGCGACCCCGAAAACATTTCGCGTTCTCTCAGCCTCACGACATCGTAGAACGATACGGCAATTTGCTGCTTATGTATGCTTAATTTTCGGCCTTCATCCAGCTTAAAGCAAAAACGAGAGCTTTATCGTGCACGCAGTAGACTCTGAGCCCTGTATTATATCTGTTCATAGCCGTAGTTGGCGTTGGCAGTAACAACATAGAATGTACATACAAGAAGGCGCGCTAATAATAACGATAGTAGTAGGTGGTCCCCTGCAGAATGCCCATGTCAACGTGTATGCTCGTGTTTGTAATAGTCGATGCCAGAAGCACGTGGGCACACAGTGTGCCTCCTGTAGTGAACAAGGCAAGTAGAATGTCGGGGCTGTCATACAATGGCAATAGAGTTGGTAACAAAAAAGTAAAGAGTTTCGGTAGAATGAGTATCAGAGCACCAACGAGGACATCAGGTAGTTTTACAGAAATATTAGTCTCTCTTCAGAATGGCTTCAGTTGGCTGGATAGTTTTGTCTAGGTAGGTAGGTAGGTAGGTAGGTAGGTAGGTAGGTGCCTTTGTTGAACAGTAATACCAATGGCTGCGAGCAACGGAATGGCAGACCAATCGTCTACAGTAGCAGATTTAGTTCTAAGCTGGGCTCATAGGGAAAAGTATGATACGGACAATACTTTTTTTTTAATATATATTTTTTATATATACAGAATAGAGCTAACTTTATTGCTAAGTGGCCACCGTGGGAAAGCTGAGACATTCCCTTACAGATACATCTATATAAAGATTATGTTATAGTTGATTGTTTTGGTAAGAATATGTAAAAGTTGAATTTTCTTTATTTTGCAATTATCTCTCTCAAGCAGTAAATAGCGCTGCTATTGTACAACGTTGATTAAACACATATTCTCGCAAATGGAGACGATATTATTTAATACCTAGTAACTTGTATTACTATTAGGGTTTAAAGTCGACTCCCGGTAATCAGTATATGTATATGTGACATTGTCCGAATGCAAGATATCCTAAAAAAAAAAAATATGTATACACTGCTTAACAAATTATAGTCTTCTAATTATTCTTTTTTCAAACTAGAATCAATTGGAAATAATGGAGTGGTCAAGATGAACTTTGGCCCAGAGAGAAATTGTTTTAGAATGTTAATGGAAGCATTAAAATATAGCAGATGTACTAAGTCAATATGGCAAACGGTTTCAATTAACCGGATAAAAGATCAGTTGGAATTGTTCAAGACTGTTTGTCGATAACGTCCTAAAAAATCAAGGGTACCAATGAGGTTTTTCTCTTCCGAAAAAAAAGTTTCTACCAGGAGAACAAAGGAACAATCGACTCATGAGTTTGGCACCATCAAATCTATGGTCCGTCACAGTTTAGGCCGTTGCAGATGACGAAGTCGCGTGCTGTCAAGAAAGATGATTCGCACCGAAGGAAATTAGTGCATGCAAATTAACTTATTAATTATTATTATTAAAGATACAATTGACCTTAT